AGCTTGCACGCTTTCCTCGAAATCCTTAACCCTTTGCGTCTCAAGTTCTCCTATCAACCTTAGCGCTTGGTCTTCTTGCACGAATGGGCACGTATTAGGCGACACCCCTGTCTTCAAGTGCCCCATTGTGGGGTGAACCACCCTTAACCCCTTCCGTTTGCTCCAGCTCACAGTGCAGCCCAGAGTCTCGACAAGGGCTCCTAAGGGGACTATGGTCTGAAGCTGCGGCGACGGTGTCCCTTGGGTCGTAGGGGGTACTACTAGAGTGCCTCCATTCGTCTTAAACCACTCTTCACGTTGGTCTCCGGCAAGCGTGACAGACACACGCTCCAGATCCCTCATTCCCCCTTGGTAGGGGATAACAGCATGGTTGCGCCACTGTCGAGAAGTGCCTTCACGGATGCACCTCCAGTACTTACAGCCTTGTTCACCTCCTCATTGGCAGACACCATTCGAATCTCATGTTCCCTGGCGAGGGCTCTCAGTGTGTCTATCTGGGCACTGATTGCTGCCAATGAGACGGGCGTTCCGGGAGTCACCGGAGGATTCGCAGGAACAGTTGCATTCGGCTGTGGCGAGGGGCTGATTGGAACAGCGGGATGTGGAGGCGACTGTGCATTCGTCGACACAGGAGCTGCCTGTTGCAAGATGACAGCTGCGTCTGCCAACATCGTCTTAATCTGCTGCTGAGTCATCTCCTTGCCTGAACCTGCAACCGTGGCCTGTTGCGTACTATGATCAGATGCCTTCGGTGGCGGTGGTGGTCCCTTCGGACCTAGTGGCGGCGCCTTGACCTTTGCCTTCTCTTCGGCCTTCATACCTGCCTTGCAGTCCTGGGACCGATGGCCCTTTCCACCACAAGTGCGGCAGCGCTGCGACCTTTCAGATTGGGGTATAGACAACCAGTTATGTACAAAAGTACAATCGGCACCCTACTTACACCCATTAGGCCCGGTATAGAAAGTGCACGGTGTTCCGGACGACACTCCCGCCTCAGCTCCTCCTGCGTTCTTAGGGTTCGGGGGAGGCTTAGGTGGGTTTTTGGCCTTGCCATTCTTAGGGGAGTTATCGGTAGGCTCCACCCCTTTGATCTTAGGATTCGGGGTTGTAGCACTGTCCTTGGCCCTGTCCTCCTTAGAGGTCCTATGTCCCAGGGTCTCTAACTCCGCCAAGAGTTGTGCATGCAACTGGCCTATTTTCGTATCATCCGGGGTGGTGTCTATTTGCAACGCCGCCCTTGTCAAATTTATTCTAAACGCTACATCCGGGTGGGATTGCAAGGTGACTTTGGTTATGCGCTCCAGTGCCTTGAGTTGAAGCGACGAATCGGGCAAGGTACCACCCAGCTCGACCATACGGGAGCACCAGCGACGCCACCTGCGGAGAATATCCACCGTCTCTCGGATAGTCGTGCCCTGACTCGGTTCCTGAATTTGCCGAAGTCCTATTTCACGTTCCGAAAGTCCACCCGGCGCATATATCGTGTATAATCTGCACATCACAGGAAGTAACCCACTCACTCGCGCTGAGCTAAGCTCGTCCCTGACAGAAGGTGGGGCTGCCGTCAGCAACATTCCCTCAATCCTACGCGAAACTCTAGACCACTTTGGTTGCATGATAGCCGGGGAGGCTATGGGCTTGTCAGTAAGCCTGCTTATCGCATCCAGCTTAAGGTGCTTAGAGTACCAGTCCTTGGACTCTTGCATTATCAAATCCCATAGCTCTTCGCTAGTGTCAGATACATCGGCCAGGGCAGGCTTAACACTATGTAGCCAGTCAGAAAATGCTAAGCACGCTTCTGGTCCAGAGGGAGGGAGTTCAGGGAGTGACGTTATCCCAGGCTTAATGACTTCGGGCTTATCCTGACTCTTAGGGGTTCCGGCTAAATCCGCAACAACCCCTTGCAACTGAGCCATACCTGTGAGGACCACGCTCATCGGGTCAGCCGCATCAGGGGTGCCGGCAAAGCGCGGGACCGACTCTCCTGCAGATGTCGGAGGTGCCGCTACTGCCTCGAAGTCAAGAACTCTGGGAGCTGCGGATTGGAACTCAGTGGGAAGTCTTTCATACGATGAGGTGTGCTGGGGAGGAGGTGGCACAACCTGTGATGCTCCAAGACCAGAAGGACTCAGGGAAGATGGGTGAGCAGAGTTGGGCACATATGCCTCGGTATGGGCCGTAAGACCAGGGGCCGGTGCTTGGGTGGATGATCCCGGCTGATTGGGGCGTAAATCCAGGGCCCTTGGTGGTGCCGGTGGTTTGGGCGAGGAAGAACCGCTCATGAGACTCCCAAAACCCCTACCGAACCAACCCAGACTCGGGAAGAACCGTTGATTCTCAGCCCTAAATCCAAGCTCTCTACCATACACCTGTGCACTTAATTCAGCTCGATCCCTCTGTAGTGCCTGATTCTCAGAAGCTAGCAGTTCCAGCTGTGTTCGGAGAGCCTTACACTCCTCATCCCTCAAAGCCATAAACTCCTGCAGCTGTCGTCTTACCTCCATCTGAATATCACTTGACGTAGTCGACGGCGGCTTCATACCTGACGAGGGAGGTTCCGGAGGATACAAATACGGCGCTGCTGTCTGCATCCCGTTTAGTCTCCTCAAGGTGTCCTCGTCGAGCAATGGAGTCGCTGGGCCTGACCCCCTTTGAGGTGGAGGCTGTATCCTCTCCGGACTTCCGGACTGTGCGGATATGTATCCCTCCGCTTCACTTTGTGCCCTATTAGAGGTAGCTGGGTTAGAAGCACCATGTCTCTTCACCAGTCCTTCCACAGCATGCGGAATAGCCTGTACTGCCTTGGCCACGCCGCCCAGGAACGATGGTCCTTGCCTCTTCGGAGTCTGTAGGGGTGGCGGCGGTGGATCTGCTGCTGACCCATCACCATTTCCCTCTGGCCCAAGCAAGAAACCCCTGGCAGTCGAGCTAGCAGTCACCGACCCCACCTGGGTCGTGACCTCTGCTTGTGGAACCGCCACGTTCCCTGTTCCTGTCCCATCTGGATCACTGGATAGGTTCGCCGTCACGGTTTCACCATCCATGTTCAGGGATTGCTGTGGTCCTAGCGTAGGAACACCGTTCATCATAGCCCGAGGCTCACCCTCGGTTCCAGCAGAGCTTGTCGCGGTAGCATTTGGGCGACTCATAACCTGTCGCTCACCAAATATTGGTTGTTCGTTGGGATTTTCCCCTGCAGAACCTGATGCCATGTTAATCTTCTCAATGACGTCCAAAGTCAGGAGTCGGGGCAAACGACATGGGCTTACAGCAGTCTGCAATCGAATTTTCACTCAGAAACCAAGCTGCTTCAATGAGTAGTCGGTCGAACATCTCTCTGCTCTTAGGATTGACTAATCCATGTCCTAAGACACGTGATCAGTGGTTTGGAGCTCAGCTCCGTCATAAGCCCTCACGGCTGAGAAGAAAACTGTACTCGTGAGTGGAACTCGACCCTCCATGGTTAGGACACGGGGAATTCTACATACCCTTATAGTGGCCCTTTTGAAGGAACCCTTGGTTTCGGGCCCACAGCTGCTGGTAGAGTCTGTAGCGTTTAAGGTTAAGGATTTAGGGCTTAGGCTTTAGTTAGGGTTTATAGGGCTATAGGGTTTAGGATGGTTTAGGGTTTAAGGTTAAGGTTTTAGGGCTTATTGTTTAGTTAGGTTTAGGGCTTCAGGGTTCTAGTATGGTTTAGGGTTTAGGGATTTAAGGTCACCTTTAACTTACAGGTTTCTACAGTGGATCCTCCTTTAGGGGTTGCGCAAGGAGTTCTATAAGGGTTGCTTTAAGGGTCTACAAGTTTCAGGACAACGGGTTCTAGAAGGGGATGTTTCAGGTGACCTGAAGGGACTCCACCAAAGGGTACGATAAAGGTCTTTTCGGAAAGCTGCGTGTTAACATGGGCTTTAAGCCTTGTGCGGGTTGATGGAAGGATTTAGGGGTGAGAGTTTCGGGGTTCAGAGTTTTGGGGTCGGGGTGTTCGTTTGGGGTTCAGGGTTTAGAGCTTGAGGAGGGTGAGGCCCCCACGGATACGAAACCCTAATACCTTAGAAGGGGCCCCCACCCTGTAATAGTCACCATAAGGATTATATAGGATTATATAAGGGCCCTATTCTATTCCTATTATACCACTATTACAGGGTGGGGGCAGCTTCTAACTAATACCACTCTTCCTGTAGGGAGGTGCTGTCAAAATTAAGGGTCCGTTACGCGGAGAATTTCCTCACATCACATTCAATATACAGTTCCATATCATCCTCAATTCCAGTATGTCCTGCTGTCCGAAAAACTGCAGATCTGCCATGCTGAGCGAAAAATTAGGATAGGGATATCCCATATAACCCCCCCTATAATGAGGCCCAATAAGGTGGGGATATCCCGATAAAATGCTGCTGCTTATGTGCTTTTTGGGTCCCTAAGATTTAGGATTCAGCTGCGGGGGATCGCGGCTTCCCGGGGGGTGAAAGTTCGGGGTCGATGCTGGCTGTGCCATCTCAAACCTACCTTAACCCTGAGGGTCCAAGTACCTAACTATCATATATACTCTCCAAAATAGTAACCTACATAACTACTATCATTCAACCGAGTACCTAATTGTTGGCTCCTTTGGACCCTTAGGGTAACGAACGAAGATACGTCTTTCGGCGAAGCCAGGCCATGACGGAAGTTTCGGCTGAAGGGCATGGAACCAGGCATTAACTTCGAGATTTGCGGTGTGCAGTGACATTATGGTAGTTTAAGGTGCGCCGTTTGAGTATACGGTCAAAATTGAACCGAAAGTGCCAATCCCGGAAAATCTTCAACAGAATGTTTGAAATCTATCAACTCACCCTATCAAGGCCAACTAAACTGCCAAAATCCTGCCGAATCTGGCCCTAAACCCCAAAGCCCTGAATCCATTCAGCCCTAAACCCTTTAAGCCCTAGCCGATACAAAACTTAACCCTAACCCCCTAAACTTCATACCTGTTTTACGAAAATGGAAGTCTGCCAAGCGACTGCTGTGGTACACGCCACCGCCATCGCCAAAGCCTCCTAGAATGGCCCGACCATTCCTAAGTAGGGTTTAGGGTTTTCTTTAGAGCGTTGCTTCCTGCTGCTGCGGGCAGTAGCGTAGAATAACATGCAAAACAATACCACTTCCACTTCCGACGTCAACATCATCATTATCATCATCACCATCATCATCAGCAGCGTCCAACATCATCATCCTCCTCATCACCAGCATCATCATCATCATCAGGATCATGAGCCTGGTGCCGTGGTGCCGGCAACCCCCTTCGCCTTGTCCGAGCCTGGCACCTGCTAGGACCAACGGCCATAGCTGCCGATCAACGACAACGCAGCGACAAGGAGACCACTTACCGTAGGAGCCTTGATTCATCATACTATAGTAGTCGTAAGGAACCCCCAAAACCCGTTCTAACTATCAAGGCTCCTACATTACTAGCTTCACTTCCACAAACCACATACTGCTTGAACCTTCAACCCTAGATAGACCTGCAACAAGGGTTTAGGATTTAGGGGTTTAGGATTTGGGGGTTTAGGTTTTTACTGGAGCCTTGGCCTGCGCGCTTGCAGGACCTCTGTGATACCTAGACCTAAGAGGAACCTAGGAATAAAAAGGGTGCCCTTTTTGGCTTAAAGGGGGTTATGAGGTAACCTGAACCCTAAAACGGGAATAAGGGCCTACTCTGGGTCCTAGCAACTGAGCTGTTCGGGGTTTATTTTTTGGAGCACCGACCAGAACATCGAAACACCGACACCGTCGAGCCTACAACGAGTCAATGCAAACCAAAACCCCAAACACAAAACGCCCAAAAACCCTAAACTCCCAAAACCCCCGAAGCCCTAAACTCACCAAGCACCCAAAACCCTAAACTCCCAAAACCCCAAACTCCCAAACACCCTAAACTCCCGAAACCCCCAAAGCCCTGAATTCCCCAAACCCCAAAAGCCCTAAACTCCCCATTCTCGACTCAATCAGCTGCTTCCCAGCGGCTGCTGCACCAGAACATTCGGCGGCACGATGAGAGAAACTCCTCCTCGCGAAAGGACTTCGGGTTTAGGGGTTTAGGGTTTAGGGCTTAGGGGTTTAGGGTTTGGACCGTATAAAACCTACCTTTCTGGGGGTGCTTAATATAATTTTTCGATGATATAAGTCCTAAAAAGGTGGGTCATTGGTTGTTGGGGAGGCTTTAGGGGATGAAGGTTTAGGGTTTAAGATTCGGGGTTTAGGGTCCGGTGTGGGGTTCTGGAGCTTTTAGGTGTTAGGGGCCTACTTAATTGTTCATGGGACTTAGAAACTAGGGTTATACTTAGGGTAGCTGTACTTTTAACTACTTATAACCCCAATTAAAGGAACTTATAACCTGACTTACTAAGTCCCATGATCCTCCAAAGTTTAGGGTTTTGGGGCTCGGGAGTCGGAAGGGTTCGTCTAAGGGGTTCCGTAAAACGGCGTAGGGCGTAGGGGTTTATAGGGTTCAAGGAGTTTAGGATTTCGGGCTTAGGGTTAAGGGTTCAGGAGTTTGGGGGGTTTAGGGTTTAGGGATTTAAGCCTGTTGGGCTTCCGCTTTTATAAAAAAAATGTGGTTAGGAAAACACGACACCTGACAGATTGAACTCCGAGCACATCAGACAAGACTTCTTCCGGCAAGGTCGTAGCCTGTTGAAAGCTCAGCGGCAACTCTGCAGAAGAGACTGCACCCGAGATGGCCGCGGCAGCCCGTTCTTCTTCTTGTTCCTCGAACTGCTTCTCGAACTGACGCTCGATAGAGAACTGCAGTAACTGCAGGTTGCGGCGAAAAGCAACTAGCCCATCCATACCGAACCGTTCCAGCAAAGGTTCGAGCTCTTCGAACTGCGCGTTCATGACCGTGTGGAGGCGCGCCCACAGGTCGGGACGCGGCTCAGCCCGAAGGCACAACCCTACACCCTCAAACCTCAAACCCCCAATCTCCAACCCTCAACCTTAAACTTCCTAGACCCTCAACGAAGTCATTGCGTCGGGGTCTACGGCTCTTATGCATCCGCTACAGGTCGCATCGTCAAGAAATGCCAGGATGAAGTGTAAGACGGTCTTCGCGTGGGTGTGTCTGAAATCAGGAAGACCCCTGACCCCTCATTCAAAACCCTGTCAACCCCCAAATATCAAGCCGTACACTCTAATCCCCAAACCCTGTAAACCCCAAACCCTCCAGACTCTAAACCCTCTAAACCCCAAACTCTGACCCCTACTGTATACCTTACTAACCCCATTTCTGAACCCAATAACCAGCGGTATACACCCCAAGCAAATCCCAATCCCTATAAACCCCCAAGTCCAAACCATGTAAGCCCAAGCCCTCAGCCCCATAAGCCACAAACCTTATTACAAACCCCACACCGTGAACCCTATATAAACCTTACCCTGTAAACACTACCTTAAACCCTATAAATCCCAAACCTTGGACGTTAACCCATAGACCCTAAACCCTAAACCCTGAACCCTTAACCTGAGCAACTCCAAACCCTGAACCCGTATTACTTCGGGCCGGGTTGCCCCAAAAGGCCGTCGCGCGGATCGTGATGACGGGATGCACGAACAGCGCCTCTTCAACACTTCGATCTAGGCACTTTGCGTTGTTTGTAGACGAGGATGTAAGGTTTGGGCTTTAACCCTAAACCCTCAACCCTAAACCCTGGGAATGTCACCCGCCGACAATCTACTCCCGCTGGTCGATCCGGTCCCCTGCTTCTTCCGAGATGTGGGTGTGGAACAACGAAATGGGTGGTTGTCAAAATTCTGGTCCCGCTTGGGGTCCCTATTATAATACGGCACCTATTATTTCGGGTACCCAAAAAAAAGAGACCTTATTTTTGACAACTACCCAAATGATAGATCAAAACCTTCCCATACTTTTTGATGGTCCTAGCATTGGCCGTGCATCTGGAATCCTCCTCATGCAGGTCGACACTTATCACTCCCTCCAACTGCTTTCCGTCAAAGGGGTGATATTATGTAGATTGCCTTGGTGGGATGATCGGAGGAAGCTGATAAATGTCCTGCAGGTGCTGTTGCCCGTGGACTCTAACTCTTGCTCGGTAGTATTTCAGGCACCAAGCTTGTTCGTGAAGGACCCTTCTGAAACGATGTGTGGCTTGCGGCTTGCACTACGAGTTCTGTGCAAGTCTCTGGATGCCGGGGTTCACTTTCAAGAGTGCCGAGAAACTTGTTGGAGGAAGATTGAGCTCCTGACAAATACGGTTGAGGTTTAAGATTTACAGCTTTCCCCAAACCCAGCATCCGAAGAATCAAAAAACCCTTACGCATCTTTGGAAACCCTTTACTGACCCTGAACACTGCAGTAAAAACATTGAGAACCGGAGCCGACCCAAGGTATACATAGACCTCATTTTCACTGTTTGGACAGGAACCTTGGTGTACTATTATAGTAGTATACTTATACTGGGGACCTAACTATTCTGACTACTACATTCAGCACATTAAACGACAAACCTTCCGACGAGACAAGCCTGGGAGAAGTCAATCGTGGCGCCACCTGGACGCGGGTTGTGAAGAGGGTTTAGGGCCCACCTTACCCCCAACTGGCCTACCTTTTTGAAGGAAATAATTATGTAAGGAAATCATAATCGGAAACCCTTACAAGCTTCGTTCTTTAATGTTCAGGAAGGGCGCAAACTTGGGATCCGGAAGTTACGGTTTAAGCACTTGAGGTTCAGTTTAAGGGGCTTAGAAAGGGGTAGGGTTTAGAGTGTACGGCGCTGGATCTTCTTAGGGACATGAATGATGAGAGTCGTATCACGTGTAGGTTGATTTCAATGTCAGTGTTGTAAACTCCTTACTGACTCCAGTCTCACGAACCTTCAAGTCGTCAATCTCTAAAGAACAAGGACTTCGGAAAGCCTGCCACCGCTCGTGCTTTGATCTCTTGCTCCGGGATCCACCTCGAGGGCTTCTGGATTATACATAGGTTCAGGTTCAAAATGTTCAATATCTATAGTAGTTTTGTAGAAGCCCCCAGCAGGTTAAAGGTAATTTACCCAGCTACCACAAGCAAGTAAATCGGCTGACATTTTCGTAGGTTCCGGAGGGGTGAGTTTCAAAGCGTCATCATCTGACAAGGACGTATGGCAAACCAGCACTGCCAACTCCGATGGCTGAGCTTGTGCGATGTTTAGGGCAGGGTCTAGGGTGAAGGATTAAAGGTTAAGTTAAGGGTGCAGGTAGCTTCGTAGTGTGTTTACTGTTGGGGTATGTCCTCACTGGCCCAAAACCCAAGGAAATTCAAAGTTGAAAATTGCAGAATCGACTACCTTATAAGAAGCCCAAAAGTTGAGTTTACAGGCAGTAAGTGTTGTGGCTTTCGGATTTACAGTTCGGGAGTTCAATTCTTCGGGCCGAAAGCTAAAAATTTGAGGGTTTTATGCTACGAGCAATTGGGAATCTCAAGAATATGTACTGATATGGGTGGTTGTCAAAATTATGGCCCCTGTTTGGGTACCCCTAAAAAAATTAGGTGCTGTACCATATTAGAGATCCAAAAAGGGACCATAATTTTGACAACCACTTATATGTAATATTGAGTTCAGTGCTACAGTGACAGGTGGGGTTGTGGTGCTTTGCGGCCTTGCTTGACATGCTTGGGTGCTTCGCGCTTCAAGTTTACCTCAAGCTGCCATAACCAGAATTGCTGTAGGCTGTTATTGCAAACCTTGGTTGGAACTGATAGGGACCCCACACAAAAGGTTGCAGTAGGTAGTCAACGTACTGTAGATTTCAGAGCCCTGAACACGAACAACCCTAAACCCTAAACCCTAAACCCTAGACCCTAAACCCTAAACCCTAAACCCTAAACCCAAAACCCAAAACCCAAAACCCTAAACCCTAAACCCTAAAGTCCTGCAAGCCTCAACCCTCCCCAAGACTCCCACTCGCTACATAAGCCCCCTGAAACCCTCAAGACTCAAGCCTTTCCTAAACCCTCAAGCCCAAACCTTCCTATGGAACCTACTTCGAA